CATAAAAATCCAGGCACCCTTTTCCGTGCACGGCTGTCAGCAGTGAAGAGCTGGTATAAAATTATGTGTTTGTATTTTGGCAAGTTGTTAATTTTTGGCAGAATATTTGGAATCAGCAAAGCTTAGAGCTCTGGAGTTCCCAGAAACATCTGCTGCACCCAACAGTGGCTGAAAGGAATGGGTTCATTCAAGTGTCCTCTACAATCCCAAGTAACAGTGCTCCACATCCCAGAAGTTCTGGAATAGAAGGTGGTATCTGAAGGAATGGGATAACAGCCACGATGTGCTCCTCAGCATCAGCATTTGCTCCACTGGTAAGATTTTCAGGGCCAGCTGAGCAAGGAGGCAGTTTCTGAGAGATTAATTATCTCCCTCTGCAACATGTCCTTGGCAATAATAGTTCCAAAGGTTCTGGTGGGAAACAAGGAAGGCATAACCCTGTCCCTGGGTGTTGTATTCCTGCTTTTACAGCAGCTACAGGAGAACCTTGGAGTTGGAAAAGCCACACTGCCTAGGAGGAAGAGGTCCTGCAGCAGGAAATTGTCTTGAAGCTACCAAAGTACAGAAAAGACCTCTCTATATGGACATAAAACTTGAATAAAATGTACCAAGATCATAATTTTAACATCTCTGTCAGTGTTCCCCCACCACAGTGAAACAGCTTCAGAGGTGTAATCTTCTTTCTTTAGAGTCTCCCTTCCCCAAAACCAAGCTCTTCTCTGCAAAACTCTTTCTCAGCTGCTAATACAGGACTGCCTAAGGGCATGTGAGATAGTTCTAAGCCTCTCTAAAAGAAAATAACCTGATGTCATTAGATTTAAATTAATCACACAAGGTCCAAGCCTTCACTGAAAAAAAATGTAGGGTCTCTACATCAAAAAAGGGCTGAAACTACAGATCTAGAAAAAGAGAGACTAGCTCCAGGATATTACTTTATTCCAAGTATTTTTATATTTAAAGTGAAACAAATGTTAGCATTAAAAAAGCTGAATTATTCAGAGTACAAAACTGTGCCCTTTGGTGCAATATTTACACTACATAAAATAGTAATTCTCATACTTACATGTGTAACCAATGCAAGTGTTTTAGTTTTTACATGCCAATACAAAGTCCATGTATAATCACCCTTTTTTTTTTAAAATAGTTTGCTTCACATTCTATTCTTTGCAGGGACTCAGTTTTTAACAAAAACCCAGTGATTAAGCTTGTTGGCAAAGTGAATCTGAGCAGTTACTGGATACTCTGAATGGAAAACAAACCTTATACTAAACCAACATGCATCTGGTAATAACAGCTGCAACCACACACACATAGATGAAAAATACATCAAACTAAGCCCTCCATCAAAGCACCTAAAATTAGAAATGTTGGGGAAAATGTTCATAAACAAGCTACTCTTGAAGAACAAGAATGTATTCAAATAATTGTGAGTTGGTACCTTTGACAAAACTAACCTACTTAGAGGCAACTGAAACCCCAAATAATTCTACAGAACTGGATTCTTTGCCTGGATTTCATTAGAATCAAGTAAAATATTATTTACAGGGAAATAAGGCATCCATAAACTTCAAAAACAAGTCAATCAGACTTGATAATGAAATGCAGTCAGATTGAGTCTTATGTCCCTTTGAATCAGGAAATCTTGGAGAATTACATTCAAAATTTTCTCAAATCATCTGTTTAAGGTAAGAACTATAGAGAAACATAGAATGGTTTGGGTTGGAAGGGACCTTAAAGATCATCTAGTCCCAGTCCCCCTGCCATGGGCAGGGACACCTTCCACTACAACACTTTACTCAAGGCCTTATCCAACCTGGCCTTGAACATTTCCAGGGTTGGGACATCCACAACCTCCTTGGGCAACCTCTTCCAGTATCTCATCACTCTCACAGTAAAGAGTTTCTTCCTAATACCTAGCCTAAATTTTCCCTCTTTCGGTTTGTACCCATGCCCCCCTGCCCTGTCACTACAGTTCCTGATGAAGAGTCCCTCTCTGGCTTCCCTGTAGCTCCTCCAGAAACTGGAAGGTTGCTTTGAGGTCTCCACACAACCTTCTCTTCTCCAGCCTGAACAGCCCCAGCTTTCTCAGCCTGCCTTCCTAAGGGAGGTGCTCCAGTCCTCTTATCAACTTCATGGCCTCCTCTGGACTTGCTCCAACAGAATTATACAAGCCACCATGTGGGCTCTGTTCTAGTGGCTGCACTTTCACAGAGGAACCTGACAAATTAAAAATCCTGATAAATACTTGCACACACGCGTGTGTACACCTTAAAGAATACAATTTTTATCAGCAGGGTAATTCCAGCACGGAGATCCTCCATCTGTGCCACAGGCTCTTTTGGAGAAGCATGGATGAGAAATTATGCAAGAGCAGTTTGTTTCTGCCTGGCTGAGAAATAACTGAGTACACATGAAGGGAAAAAAAAAAAAGTTAACAAGGCTCTGCTAGATTTCCAAGTTCAGGTTGGTTTCCCAAATCCGTCCCTGGCAGCACAGCCAGCGTCACTGCACAAACTGGTTTATGGGAACAGATGCAATTGCTTTCCCAGTTGTTTGTTCCCATCACCACAGCAGGCCCTTGTGCCAGAGCAGTTGTCTACACACCCGTTGTCTGGCAAACCAGAGCAGGGAATTATTCCAGATGACACCAAGCAGCCTGCTCGGTTTTCCTTCTGGCTCATCACACAGCCACACTCACGTCAGGGCACAAGACCATGGGTGAAAAAACCCACTCCTTTCACAGGAAGCTTCCCAAGTTTCCAAAACCACCAAAAGAGACTGCAGTGACAAAAAAAAAAAAATTCAGCTGGAGAGGGGAAAGAGGAGCTGGATCCAGTGAGGTACATTGCCATTTTTCTTACTCTGGGTTTAGCCCATTTGCAAAAAAATCCTTGGCAAAAAAAAGGCTTAAACACATCACTAAATGCATTTCAGGGATTCTAGTAGCTGTTCTGGAGTATTTGTGACTTAGGTGGGATATCTAAAAGCACATTGAAAACATGTGTAGGATTAGATGTTAATCTCCAGAGCTGTCCTTAATGAAAAGATAACGTGCCAGATTAGCTTTCAACAAAAACAAGAGGAATCTTGTAATTCTAATTTCTATTTTAATAGTAGTATTTTGACACACAAAGCCCTATTCAGGTATTTAATTCAAAGCGGATAATTGCAACGAGAAGCCAGCCTAAAGCAATGATAATGGCCATTATAATTTTTCAAATCGCGTCGAGATGAGTGAGTACAGCAGTTAACAGAGAGTCCGAGCCAAAACCCAACAGGATCTGGGCATGTGCCTCTCTGATGATAAGGCAGGGAGGTGGGCTGGCTTATGAGTGGGACAGTGGGTGTCTTGTGAGGGGATGGGGGCTGCTTGTCAGGGGGATGCTGGCTTGTGAGGGATGCTAGCGTGAACTTGTCAGGGACGGTGGGTGACTTGTCAGGGGGACAGTGACTGGTTTGCAAGGGGGACAGTGGGTGGCATGTGGCAGGGACGAAGGATGGCTTGTGAGGGGGGCAAGGGAGTGGCTTGTGAGGGGTTCAGTGGGTGGCCTGTAAAGGAAGGTGGGCTGGTTTGCAAGGGGGACGGTGGGTGATTTGTGAGGGGGACAGTAGGTGGTTTATGAAGGATTCGATGGATGGCTTGTGGCAGGGACGAAGGATGGTTTGTGAGGGGGGCAAGAGAGTGGCTTATGAGGGGTTCAGTGGGTGGCTTGAGGAGGTCGGTGGGTGCCTTTCAAGGGGAACGGGGTGGGAGGGGGTGGCTTATGAGGACGCCACTTGTGCCACTTGGACATCACAGGGCTTCTTTCCAAACCACGCTGGACCTTCCCCTTACACTTAAAAAAAAAAAAAAAAAAATTAAAGTTAATATTAACACCCTCCCTCCTTCCCTAAAAAATAGAAAAAACCAAAAAGAATCACCAAAAAACCCCCCCAAAAAACCCCCACCAACCAGTACGATTAAACTGGGTGTATTGCAAACTGCCGCTGCCCGCGGGTTCGCCCCCCCCACGGTGGGGTGCGGGTTTTACCACAGCGGCACCTCCCGAACCCCAGCGCCACTGTCACCGGCGGGGGACACACGGCAGGGACCTGCCCTTCGTCCCCTCTGCACCCACCCCGTCCCCCGTCCCGGGACTGCTGCCTCAGTTTCCCCTCTCTCGGGGCGGGCAGATCCGCACCCCGAGCCCGCTCCCCTCACGCCGCCGTCCCCTCACATCGCACTCCCGCACACCCCCCAGCCCCCGCCGCGCCGCCCCTCGCCCCCGCCACCCCCCACGCGGGCCCGGCCAATCGCGGCGCCGCGCACGTGACGAGCGCTCCCCGCGATGACCTCATCCCTCGGTTGTGGGATGACGTCAAATTCAAGATGGATGGAATCACGGCGGCGGCGGCGGCAGCGCGGGCCGGGCCCTGAGAGGAGGCGCCCCGGCGGGGGACGAGCGGGGAGGGCAGGCGGACACGGTGAGTAGCGGCCCCGCGTGTCGCGCCCGTCCCGGGGGGCTGCCCGCGCCGCGCGGGTCTCCCCGGCGCACAAATCCGTCTTTTCCTGACGTAACTCTGAGGTGGTTTTTTTTTTTTTTTTAACCTCCTTCTCTCTCCTCCCTCCCTCCCCCCATCCCTCCCTCCCTCTCTCCTTCCCTCCTCCTCCGCCGAGCGGGGATGCGGCTGCCCGGGCGCATGCGCCGGTTACGAAACTCTTCCCCCCTCCCTCGGCCGGCGCTCGGCGCAGGCGCTCGGGGCGGGCGGGCGGTGCCCCCGCGGCCGCCGCCACATCGCCCGCCCCGCCCCGGGGCGGAGGGCGCGGGAGCCGGGAGGGACGGAGGGACGGGAGAGGCGGGTCGGGAGAGGGGAAGGCTGGGAAGGGACGCGCGGTCTCAGAGCTCCTCAGCGGGAGCGCCTCGAGGGCGCGTTAGCGGCCGGCACGGGCGGGAGGGAGGGCTCGGCCGCCTGAGGGGAGTGAGGGGCGGTGACGTGAGGGGTATCGAGGAGCGGTGGTTGTGAGAGGCGCCAGGTGATGTGAGGGGCGCCAGGGACCGGCAGTGTCTGTGAGGGACGCCAGGGAGGGACCGGCGGTGTCCGTGAGGGACGCCAGGGACCGGCCGTGTGTGGGATCATTGGCGTGAGGGACACCAGGGATCGGCGGTGTGAGGGATATCAGAGACCTGTGGTGTGGGTGTGAGGGACACCAGGTGGTGTAAGGGACACCAGGGACCGGCGACGGACACCAGGGAGCGGCGGTGTGAGGGATATCAGGGACCTGTGGTGTGGGTGTGAGGGACACCAGGGAGCGGTGGTTGTGACAGACTGGACTGTGTGAGTTGGTGTGAGGGACACCAGGGACCGGCGATGGACACCCGGGAGCGGTGGCGTGAAGAAGCGGCCGCCTGAGGGGTGCGAGTGATCGCCTGCCCGAAGGGTGTGAGGGACTGGAGGTCCCGGTGCTTCCCCCTCCGCCCCGGCTTGCGATCCGAACTCTGAAACAAGGGAGAGGCTGTGCCTCGGTGACAGGGCTGCTCCCCGCTGTGTCTGGAAGGGAGAGCGCATTTCGTCCCCCCACAGCGAGCTGCTCTGTGGAGTGCGTGTACAGGCAGGTACTAAACCTCGTTAATAGGTACGAGTGTGTGCAGGGAGGGGACAGAGGATGGACCAGGCTCTGCTCGCGGGTGCCCAGCGATGGCACAAGAGGCAACAGGCAGGAACTGATGCACAAAATTTCCGTCTAAACATGAGGAAGAACTTCTTTGCTGTGCAGTGACCAAGCACTAGAACAGAGACCAGAGAATCTGTGGAGTCCCCCTCAGTGGAGATATTCCAGAACTGTCTGAACACAATCCTGTGCCCTGTGTTCCGGGACGACCCTGCTTCAGCAGGGAGGTTGGACCTGATTATTCTCTGTGGTCCCTTCCAACGTGACCCACCATGATTCTGTAGACCAAGGGTAGCTTTGCTAGTCCGAGCGCTGTTGGGCTGGTTTATTCGTCGGGATGAAGTACATTTCATAGCCAGGTGGAGGAACCCTCAGTGCTGTGCTGTGCCTTGCAGAAAGCCATGAAAGGTGTTTTACGTGATCAGCTGTCAGAGAGAACTTTACTGTAATCCTCCCTGAAGTGCACGGTGACATTCTATCCAGGCTGGATGCAGCTCATGCAAAGGAACAGCAGAAGAATTTAATTTAAAGGAGTTATTAGGAGACAGGAAATATTGTGGTGTGTCTTTATGTGCTGAGTAAGCTCATCTTAATAATTAAATAGCACTTGCTTTAATAGCTCAAGTTTTTTTGCACTTGGACTCACAGTGGAAATGTAGGTGGGCTGTACATATAGCAAGAGTCTGTGATGAATTACACAATCTGTGAATACACTGCAGATCTTTCAGTTAAATTATAATTAATCTTTTTATCCTCAGATAAATTAAGATGAAAATAGATTTTTGAGTGTATTTTTGTACTGGAATATTAAATCAGGAGTAGTGAATACGTACTACAGGTAAATCAAGTACCACTTTGTGTGGATTGCGTGAACACAGACAGATGTCGTGTTCTGTTGTGACTTTGCTCACACTGACTGCTCTGACTAAAATTTTCCACCAGCATTGTGCTGATCTTCTTGACGGGAAGTTTTGAGTGAATTTCAGCAACTGTTTTTATGAACCTTGTTTGCAAAAGAAAAAAACCCAAATTATGTGGCCATCCTTTGGGTGGAAGGGGGTCCGACATCCCTTTCTCTCTGAACTGTGTTTCACCCACATGCTCTACACTTGTAAATCTCATAAGAACATTTTTTTCACCCATGGAAAGTCCGTCCACCCATCCTGACTGGACTGTGAACGTTTAGAGAGCGGTCATTTACATGTTCTCAGTAGGGACTTGCAGGGAGATGTCACAAATTACAACTTCTGAAGTTTTCAGCTGCAACAGTGTGTGCCAGGCCAGGATTTCTCAGGGGTTTCTCCAGCTGGGAGCTCCCCTGACTTTTCTGGATCCAAGATTCCCTTGGGAATTGGAGTTGGAAGTGAGTGTCTTGTGCCCTCAGTGCTGCTGTTGCTGATTTCAGCATTTCCCTGTGATCCAGAAGAGGATTAAAGTCATAATGAGTTGAGTGGAGTTTTTTAATGCTTAAAGTATCTTATCCTCTAGCACATATTATCCCTCTTATTTAATGTAAAAAGAGGCAATAACTTTTAAGAAGTTCCCGAAGTCCTCTTTGTGCTGTACATTTAGTGATAAATGTGAACATTTGTGCCTCCTGTTCCTGCTGTGTAGGTTCCAAGTGCCAGGGTGATGCTCTGCCAGCTGACTCGGATTCAACATCTCACACTGAGAACCCTCTGCATCACCAGAACCTGAGTATTACTAAGAAATAAGGTGTTATGAGCTCATGGGTGGGGTTTTTTGTGTGTGTGATGCTAGAGAACACTTTTATACAGAGAATTAAATAGTTGGTGCTGATCACACTTTCCTTAGAATTAGTTATGGGCAGACCAGCCTTTGGGTTTAACAGGACAACTTCACATAAAGCCTTTGAGCTTTCTTACTGTAGTGAGGTTGTTTTGGTTTGAGCTGCAGGAGCTGTGAAGCAGTTACTGTTTAAAAAAAAAATTAAAAAAAAAACCCACGTAATTTCCCATGATAGCTTTCAGAGTTTTGAAATTCGTTTTATCTGCACAGCAGTGATAATAAACAAGTGCAGGCTCAACCGGGAGAGGAAGGAGGAGCTGAGGGGAGGAAGTTGGGCTGTAACCGGCACATGGTTTATCCTGCGCTGGGAGGGGCCATGCTGTGAGTCACACGCTTCAGTTGCAACTATTTCATCTCTCCTTAAACTTCTGAGCGAGTGAGCTCTTCTGTAATGGGGTCTGTTGCATTTAATCAACTGAGATCCCCAGAAGGGAAGAAAAGTCTTCAGGAGCAGCGAAATCATTCGTTGCAAGTGGAAACAGTGCTTTAAAATAGATGTTCTGTGCAGAAGGGGTTTCATTCCCCAAATAGTTATAATTTAGTATTGGTCTTTGTACTATAACATTTCTTTGTTTTCCCCTTAATGACAGTATTAAAGACAGCAGTTCTCTCATATTTGCTTTCATTCAACAGTGAAATAAATAAAGTCACCTGTTGTCTTTGCTTATTGGCTGCTTTATGTATTATACTGTTCTGGAACAGTTCAGGCATATTTTTTGGACAAGAAAAGAAAGTGTTGAGCCACTCTTTGACCTCTCTAAGCTCATTCTACCAGCACCACCATCTTGCAGCCCACCAAAAACCAGGAAAGTTTCAAAATCACCTAGTCCTGATGGTTGAGGAGGCTTTTCCCTCTCATATTTAGTGACACACCACATCTTGTGCAAATTCTTTCCATACAGTCTGTGATGAAAAGGCCTGAAAAATCTTTTGGCCAAATAATTTCAAAAAAAACTGCTGCAAAACTTGTCCTTTGATAGCAATTAATTTACAATTAAATTGCATTCTTTGGGAAAGGATGAAGTATTTTTCCCTTTTTTGTCATGGAGCATTAATCTCCTTATCCCTGGTTTGTCCCACCTCAGCACTGAACAGTGTGAGCAATCCTTAGGCTCCAGTTCATTCTCAGCAATGACAACCTGGTAAATCTCATGTAAATCTCAGGTTAAATTGCTGCTGTCTTTCCCCTTTTCCAGTATCCTGTACTGTCTTTTCTTGCCCGTAATTGGTGAGGGTGGAATGACATTTTCTTTGGATCCCTTTGGTGGGAGGAAGGTACCTGCATTCCCTGAACCATAACTTTCTCACTTGGCAATTTTTTAGGCTCAGCTTTTGTATTAGTTCTGCATTTTTCAGAGTAAATGTATGACCTCTCCCCCTTCAAATCTTGTTTTTTTTAAAGAAACCTTCTTGTAAACGCAATTCTGTTGATAGAAAAGTGCCTTATATGGGTATAATTGGCTTTTCTTCCTATCTAAAATATACCTGTAAAAACCCACATTATACTCATAGAAATATGTCCTCAATTGGGGGTTTGTGATTTTGACTATACCAGCAAAATTAAAAGCAGTACGTAGACAAGATTTTATTCTGAATTAGGTCAGTTAAACAAAGAAAAACTGTAAAGGAATAGTAAAGGAATTACTATTACGAATATTATTCCATTTGATATCTCAGCATTACCAACAAAATAATAAAGTCCACCTGGACAAAGAGTACAAGTGCACACATTTGGTGTACATCTCCCGTTCCTCAAAGTCTTGATTTCATGCATCTCTCACCAAAAAAAATCATATGAAGTGTTTCTGGGGTTGAGGTTTCTGTAGGTTTTTAAATTATATGGCCATCAAGCCTTTTGGTCTTGTCCCACCAGAAAGTTTAACATTACAAAGCTCAAGGGAATGGAAGCTGAAGAACTCCTTAGGGAAAAGTATTTTTAAACTTAAACCTTTTGATATTTTGATTTAGGTCACAGCAGTTTGGAGGGTGAGTTACACACCTTTCAGCTGAGACACTGAGGCCAGGACAAGTATTTTGTCAAATTGTGATTTAATCTTCATTAAGTGTTTCAGGAAGAACCGGGAGAGCTCACAAGCAGCGCACATTCCTGCCCTCTCCCTTACACCCCTTGGCTGTGCAATCCCGTGGTTTACTGCTCTGGCACAAGCCAGTCCTTCCTTAGGGGTGGAGGAGACACGGGCTGCTCCTTGCAGGAGCAATCCCTGGTTAGGCTGGACTGAGAGTGAGATGAAATTGCACCCTGAGTGCTGTGGGTGTGTAAAACAAGGACTGGAGGAGCTTTGTGATGTTACTCTGACATGTTGCACTTTGCTGCAAGTCAGGAGGGTTTAAGTGTCACATGGGGAAATGAAGGGGATGATCTGAATGTGAAAAGTAGCCTCTAATTTCCAAGAGAATTTTTAGTCTTTGTCAGAGTAACTGCTCATTATTTGTCCATTCTGCAGGGCAAAATAGAGAGGCTGCACAATATTCAAACTTAGTTTTAAATTAGATATTAGAAAACTATTCTTTACTGTGAGGTTAGTGAGGCACAGGTTGCCCAGGGAAGTTGTGGCTGACCCTGGATCCCTGGAAGTGTCCAAGGCCAGGTTGGACGGGGCTTGGAGCAACCTGGGCTCAGTGGAAGGTGTCCCTGCCCATGGCAGGGGGTGGAACTGGATGATCTTTAAGGTCCCTTCCAAGCCAAAACATTCTGTGATTCCCTGATTATAGAATTCTTTTCCTCTCCCTATATCTCTGCTTCTGTATGTGTGGAGGATAAATAGTTGGAAATTAGTCCACCAGTTTCACACACTAGCAAACATGTTCTTTATCTGATTTTATGCCTCTCTTCGCTGTAGTGAGTCTCTCCTTGCTGCTGACTTATTGGGCATGAAAAAACATTTGTCTTCACAGAGAGAGTTCACAATATTGGCAGCGGTGGGAAACAGCAACAGCAGTGAAATCACATTTCAGTAAACCCAGGAAGACAGAATCCCCAACCTTGCAGCAAGAGGTTACTCAAGTGTCTAGTTAGAAAAAGATCATAGAAGTGCAAACAATCTTTCTGTGCAGATTTGGAGCTTTTACATACAGCTTTTGGGGCATGTAGGGGAGTGTGTAAATATGTATGTACTATGGGAGAGTGTCTGTGTTGTAAAGGCTGTTGATGGAAAAAGAGGAATTTTATAAACTGTGGTCAAACTCCTGTAATAAAACCCTGCATATAATCCTTGAGTAGAAGCTTAAGTGGTGTGTGTTTGTTTTGCATCTGGACTTGTGATGAGTAATCAGACGTTTTTCCTTCCTTGAGTCTGAAACAGCACCAGAATTACCGGAGCCATCAGATCCTCTGCAAAGCACTCACAAGGGAGTGCAACATTCCCGCATTTACCTGGGAATTCCCCAGGAACTCACTGAGTCTTATAATCCATGTTTCTTTGCTTTCTTAGTGGGGTTTGCCCCCGTCACACTTCCTGTGTGTTTTCCCTGTAGAAACCCCTGTTCAGTGTCCCTTGGTTCCTGCCTCCTCTGCGTGTGTTTCCTCCTCCGTCCTCATATTCCCTGCTTCCAGCCGCAGTTTCTCACAGCCCCTGGCGCCTCCTTGCTGCAAAATCGCATCTCATTAAGAGCTTCAGAACATCGTCTTTCCCAGTTCCACCCCCAACACGCTGTTAATGGAACTTTAGCTGACAGCTGTGTCCTTATAATGGAAGTCAAGAGGCAACATCAACATCTCCTCTTAGTTGCTCGTGTGTATTTACAGGTGTAACTGTTACACTGAAATCAGTCACGCAGGTATCTTGCCGGTAAAGTTTCAGTGTTGGTGGCTTCGTTGTTTCCAAAGGTGAAATTCCAGGTGGGTGAAGCTGATGGAACAACTTCCTGACAAAGAATGAGCAGTTCCGTGGCTTCTCTTGCTGCAGCTCTGATGCTCATCTGACCTCTCAGTGAGGTATCAAGCTCCTATCCTAGAAAATGGCCAACAGGTATAAAAAGCTGGATTGATTTTGTTTGTTTCTTTGGTTCCAGCTTCATTTTAGGGAGCTGAATCAACTCCCTGGGAGGTGAAATGAGCTGGTGAAAGGAAGGGAAAGGCACACAGGGCTGAGAGGAGGAGATGTGACAGTAAGGGACAGAGGAAAGGAAGGGGAACTACCACCTCAAAGACAGGTGGATGGTGAAGATCAGGAAGCTGTTGGGCCAAATACTGAACCTTTCCACTCTTTCCTTGAGTAGAGCTTTCCTGAGTAGAGATTTCCTTTTTTTCCCTGGAAGTAATTTTGAAATAGTAGAAGTGTCTTTTTCTATCCTCGTTCAAAATATAAAATAAAAGCAATCTTGTACCAAATAGAGTACTTAGGTTTCTGAAATTTAGTTTGCTGAGATCAGGAGAGGGCTGTTGAAGGAGGGAATTAGGGCACTGGAGCCTCTTTGACCAGGAAAGGCTGAGGGAGCTGGGGCTGTTCAGCCTCCAGAGCAGACACTGAGAGGGGACCTCCCCCAGCTCTGTGGGGTCTGCAGGGAGGGGGCAGAGGATGGACCAGGCTCTGCTCGGGGGGGCCCAGCAATGGCACAAGAGGAACGGGCAGGAACTGATGCCCAGCAAGTTCCACCTGGACATGAGGAAGAACTTCTTTGCTGGGCAGTGACCGAGCACTGGACAGAGACCAGGGTGTGGAGTCTCCTCACTGGGGATATTCCAGACCCATCTGGACACAATCCTGTGCAACATGCTCTGGGATGACCCTGCTGGAGCAGGGAGGTTAGACCAGATGACCCACTGTGGTCCCTTCCAACCTGATCCATTCTGTGATTCTGTGAAGACTTGACACCAGAATCTCTTCTTGGCCTCCTGAAGGAAGGCTGCAGGTGCTCCTGCTGCACTGCCCTTCCTGGGTTTGGAGTCTTACTGTCACTGTTCCTCCTGAGGAACCAGCAGCTGCTGTACCTTGTGGCACACAAACAGTGGGAGATCTCTTGATATGCTCCTGCTGTTTCCCTGATGTCACCCAAGCGTCATGGAAGAAAATAAAGAAGAGCTTTGTTTCCAGTCAGTAGTGAAGGTGGCTGGAAAAAAGTGGTTGGAGAGAATAGAAGCAGATTACTTGGAGGAAAGAGCTTAGGTAGCTAATGGCAGATTAATCTTTAGCTGAAGAGTCCTCAAATGCCTGGAATCAGATCCATTATTACAGGAGACTGCCAGAGTTCTGGATCTACACATTGTGCCAGACACACCTTTTATGGTGGGGCTAAGCAGACACACACTGGCTTTGGGGACACTGCTGCGAGGAGCTCTTGTCTTCCTGTGGCTGCTCCCATTGCTGCCTCTTCAGCTATGCCAATGCAATCGTTGTGGTTTAATATCAAAATTGACCAGTACTTGAAAATTGATAATTCTGGGGTTTTGTTTGTTGTCTGATCTGCTGTGTCATACAGGCCTGCAGGTATTTGTACTGGCACAGCTGGAGGAGGAGTGACCTGCAGCGTGCAGGTGATGAACAGGAGAGAGAACAAGGAGTAACTTGGGTCAACTTTGTTACTGAAAAATGTTCATGTAGTGAAATTTTAACACATTGTTCATTTACTCAGGTAATCTTTGTATTTTTTTTTCCACATCTAAGCATTTCAGGCTTTTAGGTGGTCCGTGTAAATGTCTTAAAATGGTTCTGCAAAACAGTTCTGGTTTTGTTTCTTGGTATCATAGTTCGTTTTATTTCTGCCTGTTGTGTCTAAAGGCTATTAAGATGAAAGTCAAGCACTTGAATTAGGAAATACCAGGATTAAAGCTGCCTTTGCAGGATTACTTTGGTGCCCTGCCATTTGTGTACCTTGCAGCCTTGGTTACTGTTAAAGTGACACAGCTACATTGCACCAAACCCTCCTGCACTGCACACAAGAGACAATTGTCTCTTGTCATGTTATTTGTAGTGAACTGAAAGTGTTCTAGGAATAAAAAAAGGAGGATGGGGGAAGAAGGGTGGGTGACTGTTGGGCTCTGCTTTAGATGCGTTGATTTTCCACCAGCCTCTGCTGGTTGCGTTGCATTACTGTGCTAGGAGGGACAAAGGGACACGTAGTAATTACATGGTGTTTATTCTGCCAGTCTTACACCAAACACAGGGCCTAGGCAAAGCAGATTAAAGTGAAATATTTGAAAACATTTCAAAATATGTGACTAATACACTGTATTTTCACTCTGTCCTTGAAAGTGGGGGTTATGCAGCAACTTGCATGGGGTGTCTCTACACCACTGTTGTAGTTCAAGCTCCCTGAGCACATCGTTGATCTGGTACCTCCATAAACCCTCTGCAAGTTGAATCCCAGATGAATCACTTGAGTTTGCAAGCTCACCTTCTTCCAGGTGAAGCTAAAGGAAAAGATGCCTTCCTGGAACACCCCAAGTGTTGATGGGTTCCCAGACCATGAAACTGGATTGGGGCCGCTCAGACCCCACCACTTTAAATTGCAGTGGCACCCACAAAGGAGAGGGCTAGTGAACCACCATCCTCATCCCCCCCCAGTGTTTTTAAGCAAAACACAGAAAGCAAACCAAGCCAGATTGGTTTCTCAAATTAAGAGTGACTGCACTGCTTTTTTTAGATGGAGGTGTGGGGGGATTATGCATTATAACTATAACTATCCGGGGTTAATTAAGGATAAATTAGTGTTTGTGAAATGAACACTGAAACACTCGATACAGACTCATTTGGTGAGGAAACAGCGTTCTGCTTTTGCTATTGCCATGGCACTGTGAAGTCGTTTGGGAGTTTCAGATGCAGAAATGGCAGCTCAGCACCCAGAGATGCAGCACCCTTTCAGTCATTTCTCAGTAAAACCAGTTTGGACTTTGATCACTTACTTGTATCCATTCGCTTTGAGTTTTACCACCCTCATTTATTAATCACGGGGTTACACAGCCTCTTAGTGCTGTGTTTTTATTTTTATAAACTTTTCAGTGTTGCTTGTTGGCTGATGGACAGCGAAACCTTTTCGTTGTCTATGTATTTATATGTATAAATCATAAACTAAAGAGTAATGTCTCAAATCAGCTGTAGAAAGAAGATAATTGCTTTTAACAGACACATCACTGACTTGTTTTATACCACCATGGAGGAAGGCAGTGTAAAGAGTGTCCACAAAAAAAAAAAATTGGATATTGCTGATTTCTCTGTGTATGTCCCTGTGCACAGATGTATAAATTCCAGTTCCTGCCCCAGAAGTTCTTGTTTTAAACTAACTTAAAGCCCGATTCCCTTCTTTTGTTAAGCTCCAATCAGGAGCAATAATTGAGTTACTGAGACGTCCTGCAGTATGGAGTGGGTTGTGTTTTGAAGCACATGGAACATGGAGATTTCTGCACTGCAGGTTAATTTGTGTGTATTGTACTCTTGGATGCATCCCAGGCTAACTGTTCCTCACATATCTGGGTTGTGGGCATAAAGTGCTCTCCTGCTAATGAATAAAATGGGGACTTCAGTTCTCTGATTGCTTTTCAGCTACAGCAGAGCAGTGCAGGGATAGAGCGAAGCAATGCAGAGATACCTCAGCGAAAATTGTGACATTTCCCAGATCCTGCCAGTGCAGTTTTAGGTGACACATATTTGACAGATAGAAGTGTATCATTAACAGCACTTAATAAGCATAAACAAATGTGATAAATTTAGATTACAGACAATAATCCTGCTTCCTTCTCCCTTCCCAGTATTAATGCCCTTTCCATCATCCTATTAAAAGTGACAGCAAAACCCCCTTAATTTGTTTGGTCAGCAGGAGACTGTCAGGGTTGCTTAAGCTCAGGAAGGTGAGTCGGTATAACTAAGCTTTAGATATCTGATCCAAAAGTTTATCAATGCAGTTGTCAAGATAGATCTTCATAAAGCTAAAGCAGAGATGGAGAGTGAAAGGACTGAATTGTTCCTCCCTGTGTATTGCGGGAAAAGAACACAGCCCACCCATCCCATTTGTGGTGTCATATTTCTGGTTTAAGATCAGCCATTAACAGGGTATTTGAAAGCGGGCAGATGAGCTGGTTCTTCCCGTGCCTGTGCATCTGTTGGAATGGACAGTCTTGTTTTCATTCCCATACCTTTCCTCCAAACAAAGCCGTTTCCTTAACCACTCTTTGGTGGTGGTTTGGCCAGTTTAGGAAGTACAGGGGGGATTAGGTGTGTTTGCTTTACCTCTTATGGTTCACGTAAGGCAACCTACAACCTTTGTTGTTGTTCTTGTTCTTTTTCAGAGGCATCAGAATCATGGAGGGGCTCTTGCACTACATAAACCCAGCACATGCCATTTCCCTTCTGAGCACCCTGAACGAGGAGCGTCTCAAGGGACAGCTGTGTGACGTTGTGCTCATAGTGGGAGACCAGAAATTTCGAGCCCATAAGAACGTTCTGGCTGCCAGCAGTGAATACTTCCAGACTCTGTTCACAAACAAGGAGAACGAGTCTCAGACAGTGTTTCAACTCGACTTTTGTGAGCCAGATGCTTTTGATAATGTGTTGAACTACATTTATTCTTCGTCCTTGTTCATTGAGAAAGGCAGTCTCGCAGCTGTGCAAGAGCTGGGCTACAGTCTAGGAATATCCTTTCTCACAAACATTGTTTCCAAGAGTCCTCAAGCTCCTTTTCCTGCTTGCCCTATCAAGAAAATACTGTATCAAGATGAAGATGAAAGCAGTTCCCAGAAGAGAAGTGTCATCGTCTGTCAGAACAGAATTGAAGCACAAGCGAAAAGCATAAATCAAACACAGCATGATTTAAGCCATACTCCTAAACCTTCGCCCTCTGTGGCAGTCAAAACTAGCAGCAGACCACAAATAACAAAACCAACTGAAACCCTTCACAACTTATCACTGCCTGAGAGGAGGTGGCTGAAAGAAAGTCCTTTGGGCTATACGAAGGTGCACGAAACTTCTGGAACTGTGGAGGATCAGGGCAGGGGTGCTTTGGTGAAAAGGAACACGGTGCTGCCTCAGATGCCTTTAGCGGAGAAGGAAGTTGCAGGCGACGAGCCAGGAAGCAGTGGTCAGCTTTTGAGAGGAAAGGCTGTGGAGATGTCACTGAAGAGACCACGACCACCAGTCTTGTCTCTGCGTGGGGCGTCGGAATCCGCGTTTTTGTTGCGAGAGGCGGGAAAAGGGAACGGTCAAGGTGAAGACAGGAACTTGCTGTACTACTCAAAGTTGGGGCTGGTAATCCCATCCAGTGGGTCTGGCCCAGAAAACCAAAGTATTGACAGAAGTGGGCCCCTTGTAAAAAGTCTTCTGCGGAGGTCGCTGTCCATGGACAGCCAGGTTCCTATTTACTCGCCTTCCATGGATCTAAAACCTGCACAGGTATCGTCCTCCTCCTCACCGGGAACTAACGATCCCCAGAAAACGTTTAGTGTTGTGTCCCAGAAGTCATCCTTGAAGGAGTCATCGGAGAAGTTAGTCCTGGATGAGAAACCACAGGTAGTACACCCACATCGCCTTAGGTCTTTCAGTGCCTCTCAGTCCACTGACAGGGAGGTGGCTTCCCCTCTCTCGGAGGTGCGGATAAAAACCGAGCCGAGCAGTCCGCTCTCAGATCCCGCTGAGATTATAAGAGTTACGGTGGGCGATGCCTCAGCCTCGGCAAACAAAGACTTCGCTTTTAAAACCGAGGAGGATCGCAAGGAACCCAGCAGAATTCCAGCAAAAAGGAGGTTTCAGGATGACAGAATGCTGCCATTCAAGAAGCTGAAGGCGGATGAGCAGGGTTCTCCTGCCTCAGAAGAGAACTTTGAGGAAGGCTCAAGCCCTCCGCACCTTGATGCTGATTTTCCTGATTCCGATGTCAGTAAAGATGAGTACAGCGAGATGGAAGAAGCAAGACCAAATAAAAAATTTAAATGCAAACACTGCCTTAAAATCTTCAGATCAACAGCAGGTCTTCATCGTCACGTTAACATGTATCATAATCCGGAGAAGCCCTATGCTTGTGACATATGCCACAAGAGATTTCACACCAATTTCAAGGTGTGGACGCACTGCCAGACCCAGCACGGAATTGTGAAGAACCCCTCACCAGCCTCCAGTTCTCACGCCCTCTTGGATGAAAAATTCCAAAGAAAACTGATCGATATAGTGAGGGAGAGGGAAATCAAAAAAGCTCTGATCGTGAAACTGAGGCGTGGCAAGCAGAGCTTTCAGGGCCAGTCCGCTTCACAAGCACAGCAAGTCATCAAGAGGAACTTGAGGTCGAGAACCAAAGGAGCCTATATTTGTACCTACTGTGGGAAAGCTTATCGCTTCCTCTCGCAGTTCAAACAGCACATAAAAATGCACCCAGGGGAGAAACCCATCGGAGGGAACAAGGCTCCTAAGCAGAAGGATCACATTCACATTGAGAGCCCAGTGGAGAGCAAGGAGGTTTATCAGTGCCGGCTCTGCAATGCCAAGCTCTCCTCACTCATCGAGCAGGGAAATCACGAGCGGCTCTGTAGGAACGCCACTGTCTGTCCTTACTGCAGCCTTAGGTTTTCTTCTCCAGAGCTGAAGCACGAGCACGAAAGCAAGTGTGAGTACAAGAAGCTCACTTGCCTCGAGTGTATGCGTACCTTCAAATCATCCTTCAGCATCTGGCGCCATCAGGTTGAGGTTCACAATCAAAACACGATGGCACCGTCAGAGAACTTTTCCTTACCTCTCATGGATCACAACGGGGAAATAACCAGTTCGTCGAGGTTGCCCCCGCAGCCGGAGTCCAATAAAATGAACAACTTTGTTGCTGCAAAGGAGGACGGCGTGTTCAGTGACTCGTCAGAACAAATCAACTTCGATTCTGAAGACTCCTCATGCCTACCTGAGGACTTAAGTGTCTCCAAACAGTTCAAAATCCAGATCAAAGAAGAGCCTGCGGATGACATCGAGGATGAGGTCACCGAGACGAGCAGGGAACCTAAGGAAGCGGTCTCCAAGAAGGATGCCAACTTGTGGCCCTGTGAGAAGTGCGGGAAGATTTTCACCCTGCGCAAGCAGCTGGAGCGCCACCAGGAGCTCCTGTGCTCCGTGAAGCCCTTTATCTGCCACGTGTGCAACAAGGCCTTCCGAACGAATTTCCGGCTCTGGAGCCACTTCCAGTCCCACATGTCGCAGGCTGCAGAGGAGGCCACCAGCAAGGAGCCTGAGATATGCCCACCAGCCAACTCCCCGTCCCCACCACCCTTACCCCCGCCCCGCCACTCCCCAAAATCCAGCCTCTGGAGCCCGACAGCCCCACGGGCTTGCCGGAGAGCTCCGGTACTACTGAGAAGTTGTTCGTGCCCCAGGAGTCAGACACGCTGTTCTACCACGCCCCGCCGCTCTCAGCAATCACATTTAAGAGACAATACATGTGCAAACTCTGTCACAGGACTTTCAAGACGGCTTTTAGTCTCTGGAGCCACGAACAGACACACAACTGAGCTTTAACAGAAACCTTACAAAGCTGTGTTCAGGGTCTCACGTGTCTGCCACACAGACGAGAAATTTTAAGAGGATCAAAACGATGATGAAAAAATGTGGAATTTGTGATGCTGCTTGGATTTGAAGATTAGGGGAAAGTTAACTTGGTTATTAGGTAGGAAGCAGAGTAATTTAAAATCCTGTGGTCTGGGATCTGATAGTAACAGTATAAATTTTATTTCATTTAACACTGAAATGCGATTGCAACCGGATTGTATGCATGGATCTTCATCCTGTGATGTTGGTGTGTGCGTGTGTATTATATATAAAGTTATATATTAAACGAAAGAGCAACAACAATTTGGATTCTAACTGTGAGCTTATAGTAGTGAAATACTGTAACCAACTTCATTAATTTGTTTTCAAAAAGGAAACCAACACACGAGCTCCATATAAATGGTTGCCATGCACTGGCAGTTAGGGAGGAGGTGGATGGAGTGTCTTGCTGTATTGACTTAGGTCTTAGAAACCTTTAGCAATAACAAATAAACCTCAAGTTTGAGTAATCCTGATGTTATTGGATACGAATGTTTGCTATTTTAAGGGAACACGGAATTGTTTTGTTGTTGTATGGAACTTGTGCAAATTAAAATAGAATCTAAAGTCAGCAATATTATTACTAAGATTTTATATAAGAAGTAGCAGCAAGTCTGCTCTCAGCCATTTAATTTTAAGTTTCTAAGGAAAATCAAGAGTGGGGGTACTTTGCTTTATATAATGTCCCAAAGACTAATTTCCTATGGATACCTGGGTAGCTGAAGTCATTGTATAACAGCCATCATAGTGCAAATGGTACTGTTTATAACATGAACTGGGGTTGAATGGATGTCAGACAAGTTTCATAGCTTTGTTTCCACTATTTGTACAACTGTTTGTAATTCTGACTACAAAGGAATGTATAACTATAAAATCAACAGGAGAGAGCTCATCGAGGGACAGGAGATGAGCTGTGTTTCTAAACACAGTAATAAGCTTGGCCATGAGTACAAAGATATGTTTTAACAGAACCTAAAAATGTAAATATTTATATAGACACCTGTATAAATGAAGAAGTATGTATTTGAAATTTGTATTAAGCGTTGCATATCCAGCTCAAAGCAGAGGAGAAAATCACACTACAATCACTGCATTTTATGAATACAATGCATAGAGTAGTTCTTTCTGCAGCTTTTCTATCATATGTGATACTGTGTTGCAATTTTCCAATTGGTTGAAAATTGTGGTAATAATGGGCTGCAGGTATTCCATGTGGTTCCATTGTTTTACCTCAAATCACAACTGGAGCATTTAGTGTGAGTAGGATCATACATATTTACCAGGAGCTATAGTAAGGGTCCAAATTTTTCTGTAAGTAAAGGAAATGCTTTCCCAGAAGCAGGAGGTGAACTGGCAGTGAGAAATTCTTCTGCTGGAATTTAAACTCGATGGAGTGGTGATGGATTAGAGTGAAGGTAAATGATGCAAACAGTATTTCTGATCCTGACCAACCTTCCCCCTGCAGGGTTGGGAGAGGGGGGATGTCATTCCACAGTGCTGAGTCAGAGCCCAGTCTCTGTCTGCTGAAACCAGCACAGAGTTTGGTCACCAAGTTTCAGGGGAAGCCGGAGTGAGGCTTGAATTCTGTGTGTAACCATGTGTGTTACTGTTCTTTCAGTATCCCAAACTCAAGCGTTGAAAGAATTGCAAGCTAACACTTAAAATTTATCAAAATTAAGCACAGCTGTAATTCCTAAGATTCTTAGGCTGGGCATCCTTAATCAGGCACATACCAGAGTCAGTTTTTCTCAGTGAAGGCCCAAGTGTGCCACCATTTTTTTTCCAATAAATTTTTAATTTATTTTTCCTGTAATTTAAGTTTAAAAGAATTAGCTCAGGACAGACCCCTGACTTTTTTTTTTTCTGCTACCAAAAAATTTGCAATGTTAGTTTCAAGCCTCTTCTACTTCACTTTTGACCAAAATCTAAAATTGTCACTAAACACTTCTATTAGTAGCATATTGTTCTCTTTTTGCCTTCTTCCAGGCAAATTGGAGCTGAATTAGGCTAATTTGTTTGAATATCAGTTAAACTCTTTCAGTGGCATTGCAGTTAAACAAGGCCCTTGCTTAACATTGACATTTCCAGTTACTGACTTTTTTTTATTCCACCCAATAAGACTAAATTTCTTTCCTACCAGAAACAATTTTGAACTGAAATGGTTATTGCAACTTAACCTGACTTTAAAAAAAAAAAAAAATCAGAAAAACATAAAGTCCCCCACTAAGTATCCTTCAAATGTATGTAAGAAATCTGTGCATATAAAACATGAACATGTAACACTGGTTCCTGAGTTTTCCTCAACGATTCCCCTACACAACAGTCTGAAAGTTTAGCTGTAAAATTCTTTCTATAGGAAGGTGGCAGCGAGCTCAGCTGGGTCAGAGCCATCTCACTTCCAACTGGGATTCTGCTCTGTGGTAGGATGAGAAATTCTACACACTTTAAATCAAAATCTTGTGCAACATTTTTGCAGAAACCTTGACCTTTTTCCTAGTGTACTAAAAAATCCATCAAATATTTTTGGTCTAAATAGCCTCCTAAGTTTTTCTTCAGTTTTTTTGGGGGGGTTGTTTCTTTGTTTTTTTAAATTTTGTTTTCGACTTCAAGCGTGTTCTGTGTGTGGTTTTGTTTTTTGGGTTTTTTTTGAAATTTGGTTCCTGTTGTTTAGTAAAGGAATTCAGGATCTCTAAAATTTAAATATGAGATGTTTATATAGCAGTTCTGGTTTTCTATTAGCTTTTATACAGTATCTTAAAAAGCCCTTGATAGAAGTGTTTATTTTGGAGGATACGGAATAAATATGCTTCCACTTATATAACTTTAATATATGTTTTAAAAGTTAAATTATGGAGAAAAAAAAAGAAATGTTAGTTGCTTGTTTATAAATAAAGATCTTTTGAATAGTGTCTAGTTTGGCCACAGCCAAAATAAAAGGCAAATTTATTGATACAAAAGCCTGTCTTCATCATATTTTGTTTAATTTTATAGCTGTGTACTAAAGTGACACAAAGTTAGAGGTCTTGTTAAATATAAAAAGTGTTTTGCTTCTTTTCTTAAAACTTGTGACAGGAATGTGCAGATGTTTTAATATATAGATTAGAATCTATAATTCTCTTCTTTCTTTGCTATTTTTATAATCTGTCAGATAAATCTCAGCGAACTATCCTGCTTCCGTGGAAGTAGAGGGGAAATTTGTGTTCCATTTCAGAGGAGCAGGGTTGAGCCATGAAATGCATTTTGGTTTGGGACTTTTTTTTTTAACTTTCAGGCACCGTGTTGGCAAAGCCTCTGAGCCTGTGCTTAAGTCCATTAAGATCAGTCTTAATTTATGGTTTTTTTAAAAGTGCTTAAGTTCTTTGCTGAATTGGGACCATGATCAACCTTGAAAATGAGCGATGGCAGCAAAATACCTGCGGATTTTGGTTTTTAAAGTCCTGCAACCAAAAATTAAAATTAATTTTCCTCTCCATAAAACCTGCGTATAGAATTGGGTGTAGCTTTACAAAAACAAAGGATGTGAACCAGGGAGGACATCGTCCTTAGATTTGAGGAGTTTTTTGGGTAAGGGGGAGAGAAACACCCTGTGACAGGTAATTAAGGAGATAATTGGTGAAGTGGGTGACTCTAGAGTTTGTCTGGGGTGTTTCAGAGTTATTTCCTTATCTCTGACCCCAAACAGCTGCGAGAGGCTTTTCCTGCATTTCCTGTTTAGGCAAGAACATCCAGGAGGTTTTTTGCCTGGTGTTGTTTGTTTTCCCCCCAAGCAGGACACGCAGGTTTGCTCTGAAGCTCTGCACGGACTCTGTTTCTGTTCCAAGCTTCCAGTGTTAAAACTGGTTCCTCCCGTGGGATAAGGACAGACTATGCCGAATTTCTTGGCTCTTCACAGTGAGGGTGCAAATATCTGGCATGAGCCTGTAATCTGGCATGTGCCTATACTGTTCAGTGAAATTGTTTACATTTTCCTACCAGAACATTTAATTAAAAATCAAAACAAGCTTAGGGGTTTGTTGGGGTTTTATTTTGGTTTTTTTTTTTTTGGTTTGTTTTTTGGGGGGATTTTTTTTTAGTGTTGATGTTAATGAATCAGTGTTAAAAATCTTTTTCTGTTGTTGCTGAGCACAGCCTGATGGTATTTTTAATGGCATTGATTCTTGTTTATTTAAAATGGCTCATGAAAAACCGTACTGTAACTGCTGTACAGAAAGGGACACTATCAAGAGAAAGTCTGGGTACAGAAAATGGACTTACTTGCGTTAGAAATACTTGACATTAATAAAATTGAAGAGTTGAGTCATAACACTTGAGCTGCTTGGGCATGAAAATGCCTACTCCAGGCATCCTCAGTCGTTGCAGGGATGTCTCGGAAAATGTATCTGAATTCTGTGGGTTGAGCTGATTTTTCATGTTGCTTTTTCTCTCGCTGTGCCAGAATAAAGGACTCAATCCAATTTTTCCTTTTTCCAGTTCCTCAGCAATACACATTATCTTTCAAAGACACAAGCTTCCCACTACTGCAGCAGCATCTTTAATTCAAATATGTGCATAAAACCAGAACAAGCTCCCTTTTGCAATGTAACATGCAAAATACACTTTAAGTGCATATTTTAAGGTTTATTCTTGACAGTGTCCCTTTTTAAAAAGCAGGAAAACGGGATCACTTCTAGTGCTTGGGTACAGGGGAATAGATTCCTACGGTTTCTAGAATTTGGGATTATCCAATACATTTGCTAGAGAATTTTTCCAGTTAGTTACACGAAATCACTTGTCATTTTAAGGGATTATAGAGGTCAGACAAAGGATGCTGGGTTTATAATCCTGTGTACCTTATACATTCTATATCCATTCGATACGCCAGGATGGGTTTTTACTTTTTTTAGGACTGAGACTTAATAGCTTAAGGTAACTTTTTCTTTAATGTAATGTAAATCCATTGCTGCTTTGTACAACTTTTTCTACCGTGTGTTTTCTTTACTTAGATCTTGACTAAGAACTGTTGGCGTCCAATAAACTTACACTTTGTTTCTTTTGAAATTACTGTGTCTTCTGCTGGAATCTCTTGGCAAAGTGGGGTGTTGCTGCTCATACCATTGTGTCTGCGGGGTGGGAAGTGTGTTTGTAAAAAAGCATCTTTTGTTCTGCCTGCTGGACGTAAATGCTACTTTTACATTGCTAAAATGGTGTCTTTTTGTCTGTTTTAGTAGGTGCCCCACCGAACCTTTTACTGGAAAAATGCAAGAAAACCAACTGCTTTAGACAGCCTTAAAAACTTGAGCACAGCCCAAAATTTGCTTCCTCTGAAATCAGAGATTAAAAGGGGAGTTTGAGGAGGGAATCCGCATCAACTGAGTGTCTCTTTCCTATAAAAGTGGACTGGGACAGATGTTTGGAAGGACATGGTCAGGAATGTTATGGTATTTTGCAGTTCTCTCCTCCAAAGCACTTTTGCCACTTGTATTTCCCGCTTCAAAACGCCCTGTGTGGGAACCTAATGTGTGGATTCCCATGGTGCAGAAAATGACCTTTTTATCTTTTGGAAGCAGGGTTTACTCAGTTCCCCTCTTCAAACTAGATAAGACCTGTCTTTCAAAATGCTTAGGCCAGTTTTCTCAGCTTCTTGGGCGCCACGTCTGCTTCCCTTTGCTCTTTTTAACTTGTGCAGTTTGGTCAGACCAGTTTCACTCACATTTGACAGAGGAGACAAGGTCCCCACAGTTAATCTCCCACAAGTTTCCCGCAGACCCCTGACTGGATATCAAGGAATGGTCTTGGTGGGAAGGATGAGAGTTGCAGCCAGAGGCTGTGCTGAACAGCTCCGTGCCCTTTTCACCCCAGTCCTTGTCACTGTGTGCACTGTCTGGTCAGAGGGAGTGGGGCAATGGGTCAGGTGAAACACAGGGCACAGCTGAAGTACCAGCTCTGCCAACTGGTCGGATCGAGGCTGGAAAGGGCACTCCAAGCTCAAGAGGATTTGAAAATGGGGACAAAGGGCTCCTGGCCTGTCCCTCCGTGGAGCATCCCTGCTGCTCCAAAGGTAGGTGAGCTGTGGAAGAGGCAAAGAGAGGGTGGAGAGCTGCTCCCTGACTCATTCACAGAGTCTTAAATCCCCAGAGATTTGGCTCCCTCTTTCTCCTTTCAGCATAAGGAACTCCTCCAGCTCTTCCTGCATCCCGTTAGGATCAACACACAGGCCTGTCTCCATTAGTCCTTCAGAGCAGACAAACTTCTGCTTAAATCCTTCACAGAAGACACCTACTCTGGAGACCATACTGCCTGTATTTGACATAAAACTCAAGAAGCAAATCAAAATGATAAAAAAGATAATGTCATGAGCACTTGCACCTGTTTTCGTGGCTATTTTTATTCTCATTCCAGTTGTCCATTTCTAAGACAGTTGCTCTGCAAACAAATTCAGTAATGTTTACTTGCTTTTCTGTTCAGAGGATATTTTGTTTCCTTTTTTTTTCTTTTTTTTTTTTAATATACAAACACTAACAGGATCATCTTTGCTATTGGAGCTCCATGGATAATATTTCTGGAAGGAACAAAGAGCAACAAGCCAGAAGAGGTCAGAGAGAGTGCTATGACAGCAGCAGAAGGATGTGAGATACAGAAGAGCCCACACTGTGGCCCTGCCAAAAACTACAAGAAAAAAAAAAACAACCAGACTCTGTTTTAAGGTGTCATTTGTGATGAATATGGCTATTTTGGTTGGCCACTTTGGTTTCCTCTTTTCCCTAATGAATGAGGTATTCCTTGGGTATGGCACCTTCCAACCCTTTTTGGCTGACAGAAACTGCCTCCGTCACTCTTATCATCCGTTACTCTGTGCTATAAAGTCTATGAAAACAGTTTAAGGGATGCAAAACTTCCCATAAGATTGTTTAATAATATTTCCTCTACAGGCTTGCACCGGGGGAAGTTTTGGTCCTCCTGGAGCAGGCTTTGGAGACTGCACATCCCCAGGGCTTCCCCAGGTGTGCCAACTGCAGCTGTGCAGTGTTTGCTGCTGCCTCTTCTTTACTCATCGATCAGCTGAGCAGCCAAACCCCACAAGAAGGAAAATCTGCTTTGTTAGCTTGCATTCAGGTCACTTGTTTCAGGAAAAATTCGACTGAGGTACGTAGAGGCACAGAAATGAATTTTTTGAAAGCATAAAGAAAAAAAAAACATGATGTAAAATCACTAAACTGGCACTCTGAATAAGTCTGGAGGAGATTCACAGATATTAAAATGAGATTTGAAATCGGGAAGGTTTTTTTACCAAATACAAGGCTCAAGAAGGGGAGAATCACATGGAACATTCATTTTATGGACATGATCCTATAATCTCTTCTGTACCTCTAATGCTGTGTACAGGCATTAGGAGGAGCCAGAAACAAAGGACTGCACCATCCCAGCCACCTGCAGAGCCACACTCAGAAGCATCACACTGAAGATGAAGCCCTCTCTCTGTATACATGCATTTGTGTATATAAAAATGCACATGAGTGTGCTTAAATATGGCTTAGTTACGTGGAAATTGGTTGGGATAAAATCCCCTGTTAGGCCAAAGGTGTGTCACAACACACTTTGCCCCAAAGGTGTCTTGTCTGGCATTCCCTTCACTAAGCAGTGTGGTTTGTGCCTGGCTGACAGCTGGGAGTAGGAGTGAGGTGCATCTCCAGGCTCCTGAATCCTTGGCTCCCTGTTGGGAATGCCAAGGAGGAGGCCAGTCTCTCCCAGCCTGAGGAAATGCAGGAGCATTAGTTGCAGTCAGCACCTGTTGTGGTCACGTAAAGTCAACACACTTGTACATAATGTGACCTCAGGACTGAAGAGTTTACAGCTTTCTGCCCTTTGCTGGGGCCACAACAAATGGTATCACCCCTGGATTTGTATAACCATGTTAGGAGTGAGCCACGTGCTCCAGACTCAAATGTTTCAGCCATAGCCCAGTACCCCTGGGAACGTGCTCTGGGACTGACAAATTGACACAAAATTGGCACATGCCCTTGGATTTTCTTAGCTGTCTAGCTGAGTTGGAGCATTTTCACTTGTCTCTGAGAGGGTTCTGAGTTTTTCCAAAGCCTTTCTTACTCTTGCTGTTGGTTTCCTACAAAATTCCTTGAAAAGATGCTGCTCTCAGTCTAAAGCTTTAAGGTCTCTTTTACTGCTAGCCAAGTCCCATCTTCTTTCTGATGCCCAAAGCCAGCTGGTCTTGGTGTCCTCAAAGATCTGAGGGGCACACGAGTGTTTTTACTGCATGGGAGAAGCCCACATTCCCGGGAAGTCACCACCATCTCCTGGGCTGGAGCCCAAGATTTAGGAGAGGCACTAATCTCGCCAGTAGTTTCTTGTCTGGAGATTCTTCATCTCTAGCTTGGACGTGGGAAGCCTGAACCATTTGGACACAACTCTGAGCCTAAATTAACCCTCAGGCGAGAAAATTCCCGAAGCTGGAATCCCCCGTCGTGTCTGGAGTGCCGTCCTTGAGGAAGGAGGCTCAGAGTACTGCATCCTCACAATTCCAGCATCACCACCTCTGGGGATCCTGGCGCTCTCTGGTGGAGAGAATAGAAGCGGTGAATATAATGGGGAAAGAAAGAGAAAAACCAAGCTTGTCTGTCGTGTTTTAGTTTGTAAAAGCTCATGTATTTTACTGAAGTTCGGTAAATATATTTTTGAAGAGTCATCATCATAGAAAAAAATAACAGTCTCGAAAATAATTTTCCTTCTTCCATTGCAGTGTCAGATGCAGGTGGTAAAAGAAATGCAATTGTCAGCAATTCCAGACAAAATGTCTGTTGTTTGCCTTTGCTCCTTTTGCAAAATCGTTATCACTTAGGAGCGGATTAATTACCAGATGTTGAATCACGGAATCACTGAGTGGTTTGGGTTGGAAGAGGCCTTAAAGATCACCCAGTTCCAACCCCCTGCCATGGGCAGGGACACCTTCCACTAGCCCAGGTTGCTCCAAGCCCTGTCCAACCTGGCCTTGAACACTTCCAGGGATGGGGCAGCCACAGCTTCTCTGGGCAACCTGTGCCAGGGCCTCCCCACCCTCACAGGGAAGAATTTCTTCCTTTTATCTAATCTAAACCTTCTCTCTTTTGAGTTGAATCTGGAGATATGGAAAAGTATGATCCTTCAAGGAAAAGCAAAATTGTTATAATATGACAAAATTATTACACTTATAAATTACATTTATAAAATTAATGGGTGGAATACTGGTGTGGTGCAATGAATACAAACACCATGGTGCCATTATTTCCCTGTTTTCTCATGTTCTTTTTCCTTGTGTTCTGGTTTTGGGGTTAAACCACAACCTCTTGATAGGTTGTATTTCTAGTGCGTGAATGGTTCCAAAAGAAAGTAAAGTATCCAAGGTGTACCAGCTTGGGCCCGTGGTTCTGATAGAATTTAAACGTGGCTCTGCAGCTTTGCTTTATGTCTAAATACATAATTCAAAATCATGATTGGTAAAAATGGAACATTGTGACCCATTTGCTTTGAAGCTTAGCCAGTTTGTCAACAATTATATTCACGGGGCATGGTTGTTTTTCCAAGACATTTTTAGGACCAGGACTGTATGTTAATACCATTTATAATAACAAAGCCATAAAAGCAATTTTTCTGATCTAATGAAAAGCTCGGCTCCTGGCAGCATGTCCTCTTAAGCAATTAAGAGATGTAGGCATTTGGGCAGAGAAGAACTGAATGACCTAAATGAGCTGAAGTTTTCCTAACTGTGAGGTCATGGTGGACATGCCACTTTTTTCTTTGGTCTTTGGACAGATAAGGTGTCTCCTGGTTTTGGAGGAGAACTGAAAATGAGAGGAGTCAACGCGGAGGTCTAATGATGTCATCATCTCTGAGCTTTTTGTGTATGGAGCAAGGCTTCTTCATTAAGAAAATTGTGTTCTCTGGAACTCCTTCCAAGGAGGCTTCTCTGGGCATCCCACCTGGCCCTCTCTCCATGTCTTTGCACACCCACCACTCTCCTTCTCAGACAGCTGTCACGAAGCCTCAAAAGTATTGACTCAAAAGAGGTG